TTACAAATGTTCCCTCCCCCCAACCCCCAGTACTCCCCTCCACCAGGTTCCCACCCCACCCTCTGCCCTTTCCCCACCGCCCATTGTCCTAATCCATAGGTGAAGTTTTTGTTTAGTCTCTTCCCACACCCCCAATCCCCTTTTTTCCTGAGAATCGTCAGTTCACTCCCCTTCTATACCTCTGATTCTATTATATTCACCAGTTAATATTGTTCATCAGATTTTTTAAATTCTCTTTGTTTTTAGTTTCACTTGTTGATAGTTACATATTTGTTGTTTATAATTTTAATCTTTATCTTTTTCCTCTTCCTAAAGAACCCCCTTCAGCAATTCATATAATTCTGGTTTGGTGGTGATGAACTCCTTTAGCTTTTTTAAAAATTTATTTGTGAAGCTGTCCATCTGGCCTTTGATTCTGAGTGATAGTTTTGCTGGGTAGAGTAACTTTGGCTGTAGGTTCTTGCTATTCATCACCTTGAATATTTCTTGACATTCCCGTCTGGCCTGCATGGTTTCTGTTGAGAAATCAGCTGACAATTGTATGGGTGCTCCTTTATAGATAAACTACCTGCTTTTCTCTTGCTGCTTTTAATATTCTCTGTCTTTTGCTCTTGGCATTTTAATTATGATGGGTCTTGGTGTGGTCCTCTTTGGATTCCTTTTGTTTGGGGTTCTGTGCGCTTCCTGGACTTGTAAGTCTATTTCTTTCACCAGGTGGGGGAAGTTTTCTGTCACTATTTCTTCCATATGTTTTCGGTATCTTGCTCTCTCTCTTCTTCTGGGACCCCCATAATTCTGATGTTGGTTCGCTTGAAGTTGTCCCAGAGGCTTTTTACACTATCTTCAACTTTCTGGATTCTCTTCTTGTTTCTGCGGGGGAGTGTCTTCTGGCTCTTTGTGTTCCAAATCTTTGACTTGATTCTTGCGGTCTTCCAGTCTGTTTTTAGGACTCTGTATAATATACTGTATATATATTTTTAATTTCAGACAATGTATTCTTTATTTCTAGTTGATCCCTTTTCATATCCTCAAAGGTCTTATTTTATCAGCCTTTTCTAGGAAATTCTTGAAAAACCTTATAACTGTGGTTTTGAACACAATGTCCATTCTACTTTCCTCCATTTCCTTCCTTTGTGTCCTGCCTCTTCTCTGCATTTTTGTTGCTTCCCTGATTTGATGAAATAGTTTTGTGTGCTAGGTGTCCTAGCAGAGCCCAGTAGCACAGCCTTCCCAGTTACCTGAGGTGTTAGTCTTGGTACAGCCCTTTGTGGGCTGTGTGTGCAGTCTTATTAAGCCTTACTTGTTGTTGGTACCACTGGGAAGCATTGATCTCCAAGCCAATTGGCTGTGAGGATCAGCAGTGTCTCAGCTAGGAGGGCTTCTGTGCTCCGCTTGGATGGGGTGGAGTCTTGGGGTGGCTCAGACAAGCTTTGGTTCCCCGTCAGTCCCACCTTAGGAAAGTCCTATTCGCAGCGAGTCCCGTAAGATTGGTTGCAGGTGTGCACCACTTGGGGAAAGGCTGTTCTTGCTTTTTGCCTGCTCCCTGACAGCCAGTTTTTCCCAGCTCAGAGTTGTCTCTCAGTGCAATTGGGAGGTTTTTTTTCCTCCCAAACGAGAAAGCCAGCCTCTGGAAGGGCTTCTGTGTTCTGCTTCGATGGGATGGAGTCTTGGGGTGGTGCAGACAAGCTTTGGTTTCCCATCAGCCCCTTCCTAAGAGGGTCAGGTTTGTGAGTCCCACAGTAATGGCTGATGGTTACATGCACCTCCAAGAGTGCTTTGCCCACTCCCTGACAATCCAGCCTCTCCCTGACTAGGGCTGTCTATCATAGCAATATGGTGGTTCTGTTTTCTTCCGAACAAGAAAGCGAGCCGCGCATTAGCTTCCTGCCCTCTCCACGCACTGGGAGTTAGCCAGCAGCAAACTTGGCCTGCCTTCTCAGTGCACAGGGAGTAAGCCAAAAGCAAACTTGGTGGCTGCCTTTTCAGCATGTACAGATCTCCACACCTCCACAGCTCCTGAGGCTCAGCATCCCTTCTCTTCCCTTTCTAGATGGTAGAGCTTCCATTCATCCAGCTGTCTGATGTTTCAGAGTGATGGTTCCTCTGTTTTCCAGTTGTAAACTTAAAATTGTTATGGTAGGCTGCATTTAGGTGTCTACCCTATGCCGCCATCTTGGTTTCTGGTTTTTCTGCATTTTAGTTGTATTTCCACTTTGGTCCTAGAAGAGTGTCAATGTACCTTCCAATTCCTCTACTGCCATTTCTAAGCCCCCAATTAGGCTATATTTACACAGCTATTTAGCTGCAATATAAAACTATGTTTTCAAACTTGCTGGATGTCTTACAATGGAACTGGTAGTAGGACATAAGGGGATTATGTGTACTTTAGTGTCTATCATGTTTTACACACAGTATTTAATTCTTATAGTACCCAATTAAACAGATTATCTTCCATTTGTAGATAAGGCTACTGAATATCAATCATGCCTGAGGCAATAACTTTGTAACCCACAGGGCTTTGATTCGATAAAAATATTCACACTCTTTCCCACACCACAGCATGTAAATTCATTTAAAAAAAACATTTAAAAAATCCTTACGTGAGGATATATTTTTAAATTGATTTTGAGAGAGGAAGAGAGAGAGGGAGAAAAAGGGAGAGAAATGATGTGAAAGAGAAATATCGATAGGTTGCATCTTGTGTGTGCCTGGACCAGGATGCAACTGCACCTAGGTATATGCCCTGACTGAGAACTGTACCCACTACCTGTTGGTGCATAGATGAAGCTCAAATCAATGGAGCCATCTGACCAGGGCAGCATGTAAATTTCTGTAAATATTTTCCTTTTTTAAGTGATGAAAGCATGAACTTTCATTATCAATAATCATGTAACTGAGAAATCATACTTTGCCATTTTTAAAATTTATTTTAGAGAGATGGGAAGGAAGAGGGAAAAACACTGAACTGTGAAACATAGGGTTGGTTGCCTCCTTCCTATATGCCCCAATCATACTCTCCCCAACTGGGGATGGAACCTGAAACCTGGGTATGTGCCTCGACCAGGAATTGAACCAGTAACACTTAAGGACATTGGACGATGATCAACCAACTGAACTACACCAGCCAGGGCCTGCTTTGCCATTTTAATGAAATACCTATTATTAAAACATATGGTCAACACAGATATAGTAAAAATTAGAGTAAAAATAATAAGGCACATATCAGAAATATAATCCACTTGTAATTTTTCTAATTATTTTGTTCCAATTAGTAGTAGTACTTAGGAATTTCAACAGCCCAAGGGCAGAAATAATTATAATTAGGACAGTATTAAATGGAAAAGCCACTTACCCATATTTTCTGTCATATAAGATGACCCCAATTTTACACTTAAAACATAGGTTTAGGCCTATATTCGCTGTATAAGACTACCCCCCACTTCCGAGGCAACACCAGTTCTTTTTTTAATAGACCGCCTCTCTGACTCTGGCCAATCTGAGCAGGCTTTTTTTCGTTTCAAAAGTTGTCTTATACGCCGGAAAATATGGTAGACTTTTATTTTTGACTACCATCTGCAGCTGGGTTTATATATGCTGGGCCTTTCTGAATTCCATATGAGATATAGATTAAACAAATGTGAGTATACTATGGATCAATGCAAAAGGTATTTGCCAGTAGGGTAGTTCAGTGCTCAATCCAATTTTGAATAATCTGCTTTCCATATGCATAGTTTGAAGCTAAATTTTGCATATTGAATGCTTTTGACTCTAAGAAAAAAGGGAACCAGCAAAAGATCTTTTTCCTATTTTGTATCATGTAACATCAATTAAACAGTTATATAACTTACAGGCTGTTATAGTATCCAGTGAAATATTATAAGTAAATTCTGAAATTCACCTGTCATTTATAATGCTAATTCTTACCAATGGCATACTCAGTTTTGTAGGAGACTAATCTGCAACCCAGTCCAATCATGGTATGCATTTGGAAAAAAAACACCTTAAAAAAAGACTTTACACCAAAACCGGTTTGGCTCAATGGATAGAGCATCGGCTTGGGGACTGAAAGGTCCCGAGTTCGATTCTGGTCAAGGGCATGTACCTTGGTTGCGGGCATATCCCCAGTAGGGGGTGTGCAAGAGGCAGCTGATTGATGACTCTCTCTCATTGATGTTTCTAACTCTCTATCTCTCTCCCTTCCTCTCTGTACAAAATCAATAAAATATATTTTAAAAAAAAGACTTTACTATTCAAAAAGTAATTTATTTTTAGGACAAATCTTAGGGAGTTAGGAAAGATTGATATGTTTTAACTCTTGAAAGAGACAATCTGATATTTGAACAGACTGATGGTCGTTGGTGCCAATTCAACGCCATCCCCAATTTGGAGCAATAAAGAAAAAAGCTTTATTCAGTGCAAAACAGCTCAATTGTGATACAACATTACTGGAAAACAGCACAGCTGTGAGGCAGCCCTGGCGCTAGGCCCCTCTACAGCTAGAGAGAGCTCTGCTCCTCACTGGTCTGCTTTGCTTTGCTCTGTTCTGTGCCAGCCTGCTCTGGCCTACACTGGTATGCTTTGCTCTGCTCCAGTGTGACAGCGTCAATTTTTTAGCTCCATCTAGAAAAGTGCAGTATTTGGTGGACAGGGAAAGAGCTATCAGAGCCAGCTGAGTTTACTTACATAAACAGAAGTTCCTGCCCTTGGTCCCTGATTGGTTCATCCTCATGGAAATGAGGATTCCAAATCTTTGCAGTTTTATTGGTCCACAAAGCACTACCCTGATTAGTCAGAGCTGAGCTGTTCTGATTGGCTAATGAAGCTGGGGTGGGGGAATAGTTGTATAGCTCAGACTGGATGAGGGAAGCTTCAATTCTACTAGTTGAAATAGGATTCCAGGGAACTCCTCCAGTAGAGCTGGCTCAGATGGCAGAAACAGTGGAGGCTTTTCCCTGAAGTGCAGTTTGCATGAGACCCTTACGCAGAAATGGCTGCTAGGCTAATTTGAGCCCCATTAAGTCACCAGGAGGTCTTCTCAATGTGCATCTCCTTTCTCAGGGTCCACACATACTTTGCATTAGCAGAAAGACAACAACCTTTCCAAGAGAGGATTTTATTCAATTGTTATTAAAATATTGCTCTCATCATCATTTACACTATGTCACTTCTCTTGCTGTCCCTCTTCCCTACTTCCCTATGGCTGACTGCCAATTCCTAATTTCCTTTTCTGCTCGTCTTCCATTAGGTCTCCTTTTTATCCAAAACTTACTGACTTGAAAACTTTTGACTTTCTCTTTGATTTTTAGTTTCAGCTCTTGTTCACTCAGGCTGCTATGTAACCAGTAGTTATTTAGACTGTGTTTTCTCTCCCTGATTAAAAGGAACTGAGTAACTGCCTCTGTGGTCACTGCTTGGTGAGGTTATTTTGAGCCATTAGGGGTGAGGGCAGGGTTAGGTTGGGGAGGTAGCTGAAATCAGTTTCATGTCTGAAGCTAATTTTTTAAAAATTAAAAATATATTTTTATTGATTTCAGAGAGGAAGGGAGAGGGAGAGATAGAAACATCAATGGTGAGAGAATATTGATTGGCTGCCTCCTATACGCCCCCTACTGGGGATGGAGCCCACAACCCAGCCATATGCCCTTGACCAGAATTGAACCTGGGACCCTTCAGTCCACAGGCTGATGCTCTATTCACTGAGCCAAACCAGCAAGGGCTAATCTTGGATTTTAAGTGTCATATGTATTGCAATCTAATTCTCAATAATAGAATTAATGGATGTAGTTAACATATCATCTCTTTGTTATTAGGAACAATTCTGAAAAAAATACATCACTGACTTAGGAGGGACAGAATTTCTTCTTACTCTTTGTTCCACATTTTAAAAATTACATTGTCTGCATTTTGAATTAAGTGAAAAGGTCAAAGGTCACCCTTTGTCCTTCATATCTCAAAAACAAACCAATTTTTAGTTTGTAAATTTCAGGTACAATTGTAATTCCAAAATCACCATGATATAAATCAATTCTGCCAGATTAAGGATAAAGAGGAGAGAAAAAACTTACTATCAGAAAGCAGAAATACTTACTTGAAATAACAGATAACCTTGAGAAGTTATCAGCTGAGTTTTAAAACCACAGAACTTTGGATATAAGGTAGGAGTGTGCAAATGGCTAATAGACAAGTTTAATGAATGCTATTATCAATTCAGAGTAGCAAATGGACCACTGAGCAAATTAAGTGGTCTACCAAAGTCTTTTAATTTAACAAAATTACTTGATTCCCCCTTTCATAGAGCATCAAGGAATCAGATGGGGAAAGACAGAATAACAAAATCTTTGCAAAGGGTATACTGATAGCAGGAAAGCTTTGCATGGTGAATGGAAGAGAGCACAGAAGTGAATAATTGATTCTCATAATATTTAGATCTTGATCTGCTTCCAGCCAGTGGACTATACAATAAGTTTTTGGTTCTTCTATTGTTTTCTTCTTGCATTCCACTAGGTTTCACATATCCTTAATTTGTTTTACAGATCACTGATTTTCCTTTGGAATAAGCCGATGTGGCTAAGGTAATTAATAAATGTTACAATAGCTTGGTTTTAAGGTATTGGTGAACAACTTCAAGACATTTCATAGAACATTGTGTCCTTAAGGTACAGTTAAAATGAAACTTCCCATTAGGATAATGTAGAGGATGAAATTCTTTTAGGAAAAAGTAAAAATCCTAAGCTTGCCTCTATCTGGCATCTTCTCTCAGGCACTGAGATTGCAGCCATCCAACAAATGGGGACAGGCAGAATGAGACTTCAAAAGTCACAAATATACACTATCTAATTTTTAGCAAGTCTGGCAATGAGATCTTTCCATTCTCCTCTCTTCTTTGTGATGTACATAGGAGTGAGTAGTTGCAATAGTGATTCTGGCTGTTGTCTAAAAAAGTTATGACACAAGGCTTCAGTGTTACATATCACATACATCCCACAGTCATAGCTGTTTTGTTGAGCAGGGGCTTTCTCTTCCACAAAGACTAGTTTGTCTCCTTTTCTACCCAAGAAAGCCTCCAACTTCTCTGCTACCTGCTTTGCATGAATTGAGTTGCTTCTGCTATGGGAATCATAATGAAAAAAGCTATTTTTATCTTGGAGATAAACCAGCAAACTCCAATGGGTTCCCCCAGCTGCCTGGTTGGAATTATCATTGATGGCTAAAAATACAACTCTCTTGTTGGGGACGTCCAGGGGTTCAAGAAACATGGCAATCTCTGCTGGATTGCTAGTGCACTTGATGAACTGGGTGACTTCAGGACTGATGAAGCAGACTTGGTCAGAGCAGTCATGAAACTGACTGTTGGCAAAATACTCAAAGGCAAACCCAATAATACGGTCATTGAGCCAGCTTGGAGGATCCAATAGTGATACATCTGATTGCCGCAGTAGACTGTCCATGTAACTCAAGACTACAGGGTCCATCTTGAACTGACCAGGGTTGCTCAGAAATTCTGAAAGCTGAAGGAGAGGCAGAAGACAATATTTAATGTTGAATATGGCACCTGGCTGTCAAATGGGGATGATAAATCACAGCTATTCTCACAGAGTTTTGGGAAAAATTAAATACAATTATAAACTAACAACAATGCTTACCTAAGAGTAAACATTCAGGAAACTGCAGGATAAATGCTTTATGTTTATAATTAGGTGGAATGAAAACTTGGGAAATTTTCTATGCTGAAACAGTAAGCATGGATTTTTAATTTCTTTTATATATGTTATTAGATTGGTTAAAGTTACAACTAGTGTTTTCCTAAACTTCATGGCATTAACCATATAATTGGCCCTTTAATGAATATATTGGCACGATAACAATGGCAAATTATTTTTATATTAAAGATGAATTTTCAAAGAATCTAAAAAATGTTACTAATTACCAAGGGAAATAGTTTTAGTATTTTCACATTAATTTTCAAGAGATAAAATATTGCTTCCTCTTTCCATAATGGAAAATGACAGTGATTAGAGTTGTAATTAAAAGAAACTGTAATGTGAAGAACAGAAAATCATGAGTGTAATAGAAATGAAATTCATTTTTGATTCTACCCAGCCAAGGGAGAGAGAGGAAGAGAGGGAGAGAGGAAAAGAGAGAAAATATCAACTAATTGCTTTCTGTATGTGCCTTACCTGGGGAATGAACCTGCAACCTAGGCACATGCCGTGAACCAAGAATGCCTGCAAGCTTTTTTTTTTTTTTTGTGCACAGAATGATGCTCCAATTGAGTCACTCAGCCTGGGCAATTGGTTGATTCTTGTAATGAGCCCTGACCGGGTATCAAACCGGCATCCTTGGTATAAGGACAATGATCTAACCCTTACCCAGCCAGGGCTGGCTACATTATAAAACAATTAAATTTTGTGGCACAATTATTTTCATGTAATCAAAACCCTGCAAAAACCTATATAAAAACAAACATACAGTAAATACAGTAAATGAGGTAACTAAGAAAGACCAAAGAGGCTTTTATGTGCATGAAGTATGTCATAATATAAATTACTTCAGAAACAATACTGGGCTGTTTAAGTATGTGTATCTATCTATCTATCTATCTATCTATCGAATGAGATGGCAGGAACTAAGATTTTCTTAGGAAGAAAGAATAACTTGAGCAGAAACATAAATTGGAGCTAGGAACAAAGTTAATGAGGCACAGAGCCCATTTGTTAAAAGTGAGCCACAAATTTGGCTCTAAGCCATTTGGCAGCTAACCTAAGAGCATTAAGTTAAATATTCACAATCTCAATAAGGTAAACACAAAGCATTTGCTCAGGAGAAGTAAAAATTTTCTTTGCTTTAAAGTCAGACAGTTTTCTCTCAATAAATTTTAATGCCCCCCAATATCTTTATAATAGATGAAATTGTTTCAAAGGATTATTCTTCTAATGATCCATAATATTCGGCCTGATGGCAAAATGAGTTAACAGCTATTTACATGGACATTTGGTGCTCAGCTTGTTGCTGATTTGACTTAAGAGTATATGAATATGAAAAAAGAATGACAGCATGTGTACCATTCAAGGCTCCCTTAATCACTCCCCAATGCTGTCAATGATCACTACATAGTGGTGAATGCTAGATTGTACCGCCTAGTAAATACCTGGAGACCTGCTCTCTATGCTGCCAGCTGAAATCAGACTCATATTTTAACAGCAAACCCTACAAGGGATAGAAGCCTACAAGGAGTAGAGTGCCTGGATATATAGGCATCTCACTTTGAAGGGAGTATCACAGGCAGAGCCAAGATTTTGTTCAGAAAATAGTTTGTGATTTATCTGTCTGATTTTGAAAACGTCCCAAACACAGACAATGGGTCAATCAAGGACTTAATTCTATTCCATAATGAATGACTGCAATAGCTTAACATCACAATTGTAAAGCAAATGGGTTCAGCTGGAATGGTTCAGTTGTTGAGCTTTGACCTATGAACTAGGAGGTTGGGGATTGATTCCCCATCAGGGCACATGCCTGGGTTGCAGGCTTGATCCCCAGTAGGGGGTGTGCAGAAGGTAGCCGATTGATGATTTTCTCTCATCATTGATGTTTTTATCTCCCTCTCTCCCTTCTCTGAAATAATAAGAACCTATTTTAAAAAATAAAGCAAATGGAACCAAACTAGCCTTTAGAAAAATCACCTTTGGTCAAGAAAAGGAACTCTAAACTTCAAATGTGAAGACTTAAATTTTAGACTCAAGTTATGTTACTCCTACAATTCTGTGTGATCATAAACTACTTAATTTCTTGAAACCTGTTTCCTCTTCTGAAAAGTGAGAATACAAATATATAAATTATTTGTCAATGTAAAACGAAGAAACAGAGGTAACTAAAAAAAAAAAAAAAAAAAAAAAAAAAAGTAATATATAATATATCCAGATACCTATTGTGTCTTCAAGAAATTTATGTCTTGCCGAAACTGGTTTGGCTCAGTGGATAGAGCGTCGGCCTGTGGACTGAAGGGTCCTGGGTTCGATTCCAGTTAAGGGCATGTACCTTGGTTGCAGGCACATCCCCAGTGGGGGGTGTGCAGAAGGCAGCTGATCAATGTTTCTCTCTCATCGATGTTTCTAACTCTCTATCCCTCTCCCTTCGTCTCTGTAAAAAATATCAATAAAATATATTTTAAAAATTTTTATGTCTTATACTCAATAAGAGAAGAAACCCATAAGGCACAAAAACAAATGTATGGGAATTCAGTACAGAATACAATCATTCTTGGCAAAGGGAGTGAAAGGGAAGGAGAACTCAGATCAGGAAAGATTTTAAGGATAAAGTGGCATAAAAGTGGGCTCTTGAAAGACTGACTGGTAGATGCAAGAAGGGCATTAAGAAGGCAGAGAGGCAAGGAAAGCGCCTTTAATTGTGTAGTCTACTCTGGCAGGAATGAAGTGAGAGTAGGTATGAAGGCGAGATTACTAGAAGTTAAGTGGTGACAGACTGAATTCCAGGTGAAAGAGTTTGGGATTTATACTGGAGGAAAAGGTGAGCCATTAATGACTAGCTAAGCCAATGCTTTAGGAAGATTAACAATTTAGCCAAAGCATATAGATTTAATTTTTGGAAGAGAAATTGAAGGTAGAGATCAATTAGACTGTTATTAAAAATGAAGATAGGAGGACACTACCTAAACCAGGGGAAATGGTAGTTGGAATGGAGAAGCAAAGAAGAAAATATATTGTAGACAGAAAACCAATAAGTGATCAGAGGAAAGTGGATTACATAGGAAAGAAGAAATGATCTGAGGATTTTAGTTGGGATTTTAGTTGTAGTTCATTACTAATGTAGGGAAAAGGAGATGGAAGAGAACCTAACAAAAGGACCAAGAACCATCTAGAACCATCCTAGGGATATTCCTTTCTATAAATGAACACTATGCTTGGCATATCTGAGATACAATAAATGTTTGCCAGAGAAATGAAATGTTTGAAAAAGAGTCAGAAAAAACAGATTAGAGGGAAAAAAAAGAAATAAGGTCTCTTATGATTTTTGTATTGTTTGTAACACCCCATTTTTATTTATTTATCATATTTTTTGTCTTGTTTGTTTTAAAAGACCTTAGTACTTGGTTTTGGTGAATTGTGAGGGATATTGGGGAGTAAATTGGGGAGACAATGACCTCTTCAGAGTCCTATTTGTAAAATCTCCCAAAATATATTATAGTTCTATGTTTTGGGACAGGGAGGCTCTGACTTTGCCACTTGCTATCTATGTGACCATGGACAAGTTATTCAGCCTCTTTCTGAGTCTCATTCTCCTCATCTATAAAATGAGGTAATAATAAAACCTGACTCCCAGGGTTGTTACATGAATTAAAAACAAATGAAAACACTCTGCACAATATCTAGTATGTAACAGGCTCTCAAAAAAAGTTAACTTCCTTCTCTATTCCTTATATTTGGGGTGATAATAATATACCTTAAAGATTTTTTGGACATAAAGCATTTGTTTGTTTACATAAAGGCACAAAGTCATCAAGGATAGATCTGGCCAGGGCACAACTCCATTGTTCTTGTGCTTTACCTTTGAAAAAGAAGTGTGAATGCTAAACTCCAGAGAAAATGGTTCTCTCAATCTTAGAGTGAAGCAATGATGTTAATGTGTTGTCAGTATACACAAATCCTGTGCTTACAAGGTTTAGTTTATATCTTCCAACTTCTGTAGTAAAATGAAACTAATATTGAATTCAATAGTATAGAACACTTCCTAATCAAGTTAATTTTTACCAAAGAAAAAGACTTTTTTTTCATATAAATCTTAAAATCCTTAAAATGCAACTACTTGAATATTTATTATATCAATAAAAAGAAGATAATGAAATAAAAATAAAAATAACTTAAAAGGGAAAAACTACAATTCAATAATCATTGTGATTTCTGCTGATATAAAAGGAAGAAGCTGATGATCTAGTAGAGAAAAACACCAATTTGGGAGTCAGAAGATTTGGAATTTGATCCATATCTTCAATTAACCAGTTGTTTGACTCCGGAGAAGTCATTAAACTTCTGGGTCTCAGCTTCATCACCTGCATACTGCATTATGGACCAGATAATTAGTGATTGTAGCTGGGGTTACACATTAGAATCATCTTTGGGAATTTAAAAAAATAAAAACACCCCTGATTTTAGAGAGGGAGGAAGAGAGAGAGAGAGGGAGGGAGAGAGGGAGAGAGAAAGGGGAGAGGAAAAAGGGAGAGGGAGGAGAGAGAAAGAATTGAAGGGCAGATAAAGAGCTTCACAGATAAGAAAAAGCTAAAGGAGTTCATCACCACCAAACCAGTATTATATGGAATGCTGAAAGGTATTCTTTAAGAAGAAGAAGAAGAAAAAAGTAAAGATAAAAATTATGAACAACAAATACATATCTATCAACAAGTGAACCTAAAAATCAAGTGAATTAAAAATCTGAGGAACAGAATAAACTGATGAATCAGGAGCAAAGAAAGGGAGTGGGTTGATAATTATCA